GAGTTGGAGGTTGCTGTGAGCTGTGACGCCACGGCACCCCGCCCAGGGGGACAGCTTGAGGCTCTGTAAAAAAAAAAAAAAAAAAATTAATATTTGGGAGTACCATCAAACAAATAAAGGAGCGTTTCAGTGTGGAATTCTGGCTGGTTAAGAGAGAAACAGTTGAAGGCAGACATGTGAGAACCAGCCGGAAGAGGGCAGGTTCAGCAACTTGATGCAAATCCAGCAGGCTTCGTAAGGTGCAGGCTCCCCAGATAGAAAGCAAAAAGCATTTTAAAAATTCAAACAACGAAAAGAGTTAACAAAAAACAGGATTTGATCACCAAACATTCCAGGAGGCGCCATCTGAAGTCTGTGAGCCCAGGAATTTTGCAGAAACTACTCTTTCTTCATTTTCAGTGGTAAAAACCCCAAACTTCCTGCTCTGGAAAGTGGGGGTGGCCACTGTTTTATTTTTTATTTTTGGCCAAGAAAAGCATAGCCTCTTTTGTTGGGTTGGTGCTGCCCTCTGATGTTGCCATGCGGCACTGCGGCTTCACCGCTAGGTCCTATCAGAGCAGTTAAACAGAGTGGGAAGCTCTGATTCTAGCCTGAGCTTCAGGGTCAAAGGCAGGTAGGTTCCTGGGTCTTTACAATGATTTTGCTTGCGTATACGTTTTTTGTGCATGTAGTGGTAGAGAACCTACTCATTACTGTCTCCTCTCTTTTTATTGTTACAATGATGCTTTCTGAGTCATTGTTGTGTATGATGTCACCAGACACCTGGCCAGCATCTCTGCCTCCAGGCCGTGGCTCCTGACTCTTCCCCAGCTTTTCTTTGCTTTCTAGGGAACTCAGGGTGGGGATTCTGTGGGATTAGATTCTCACCTTTGCAGCTCTGAGTAAAATGTTCGTGAAAATCAGTACTTTACCCCTTTCCTTAAGATTTGCAGCTTTAGGATCTGTTGAAATTCTTTGTGCCATTCCTGTTTTGCAATTGTGGCGATGTCAGCCAGCATATCTTGCTGGGATGGTTGGGAAGGAGGGTCCAGGAGATGGTATGGGACCCGATCAAAGCCCTGAGGCACTTTTAGAGGGGAGTATAAAGTAAAAAGGTTTATAGAACTGTGCAAAGACAGTTTGAACTGAGAGCTGTGTTGACAGGTGTCTTCTTGATGTGAGCGAGACCAAGGGAGGGGGTGGGGGCAGGGAGACGCTGAATGAGCTTAACAGACTGGGAGGCATTAGCCTGGCAGGGAAGCCGGCACTGGAGTGGAAAGCTGGCATTTTATGCCCATACATGCCCATCCCTCAGTGGAATATTAACTGAATGAGTGAATGGGAGCAAATGGAGCACCTGGAACAGCAGAGATGAGGGGTGAGGCGCTGTGCTCTGCGGGAGAAGGGCAGTGGGAGCTTGCAAAGTGCAGGGTTGGCGTCTCCCCTTTCCGCCAGCAGAGCTGGGCCTGGGAGCAGGGGCAGCCTGGATGCCTGCTAGGATCCATTCTGAGAGCCCTAAAAGACACGTACATTCTCAGTGTTAGTTCTTCAAGTGTGAGATCCCGAGAGTATCCTGGTTTGTTTCTATGGCTCGTCACAGTTTGAAGCTAACTGAGCTCGAGTGCCTGTGTGTACCCAGCAAGATCAGGTCCAGGATGTCCACCCAGGGAAGCCGTGGGTGATGTGTGTGTGTGTGCAGAGGTTCAGCTCGGGCTGCTCACTGCAGGCAGGGCCGTTTAGACGATACAGCCGTTGGGTGCAATAATAAGGGATTTGTTAAATTAGCAATGTTGCGTTCACCTAAGAAAATACTACTTGGCTTCTAAATGTGAGCTTATAGGGTAACTTTTAATGTGATTGGAAAACTTGCATGGGTAAGTGAAAATTCGGTTTACCCAATGAAGATCCCATTTTTATGTAAATAAAAGTACATAACTACGTGGTGCTTAGAAGCAAGGACTGCCCTGTAGGGTGAGTGGGGATCTCTGGGACGCCGCAGGTTCGTGAATGATTTGTTTTCTACATGCCTATCAGAATTTCCTAAATGTCCTTCTAGGAATGGATAGTACTTGTGTAAAAAAGAGAAATGGTAACAGTTACTTTAAGATAGTTCATTTATTTTATTTTATTTATTTTTTTGCAATTTTTGGCAGGGCTGGGTTTGAACCCGCCACCTCTGGTATATGGGGCTGGTACCCTGCTCCATTGAGCCACAGGAGCCTTTTAATGGACACCCACCGGCTCTTGCTGTGTGGGGGCCTCCATTCTAAAGGCTTCCTGATTCTTCCAGTGACAGACACAGGACTCAGTGTCCCCTTTCCTCCCGCAGGAGAGCAGCAGCATGGCCAGCGTGCTGTCCCGGCGCCTTGGGAAGCGGTCCCTCCTGGGAGCCCGGGTGTTGGGACCCAGTGCCTCCGATGGGGCGTCAGGGCCTGTCCCACCCTCAGAGCCCCTGCTGGAGGGGGCTGCACCCCAGCCTTTCTTGGCCTCTGAGGACACTGCCTGCCAGGAGCAGCCCAGGGAGGTTCTCAAGGCTCCCTGCACCTCAGGCCTTCACCAGATGGCTTTTCAGCCTGGGCAGAAGGTAGGTTGATCCCAGTGTGCACAGGTGTCGGGAGGCTTGGTGCTGGCAGGCCAGGGGTGCCCAGGTGATAGGCCGGAAGCTTTCTTTGCACTGGTTTGAGTAGCTTTGCACTGCCTAAGAGAAGGTGTTGTCACCAGCAGGTCTAGGCCCCTGCAAGGCCGTGTTGTCTGTGGGAGAAGGTGGCAGGACATGGCACCTGACGTTCTGGGCTTTGGCCTGCTTGAAAGCTCAGCTGGAAGCACGGCTGTAATTCAGTTTCTTTTAGTCTTCCTTGGTTTGTGACACTACAAAACAGGGGAAGGGACCGCAGGCTCACGAGAGTCAGAGGAGATGGCGTCTTGAATTATATTGATGTTGTTTTCAAGAGCTGAAGATGTTCGTTTAGTCGGGAATCAGGGCAGATCTCCATTTCTAGTGCCCCTTCCCCTATGTCAGGGTTGCCTGATGTCACTAGATCCGGGTACATGGAGCTTTCCTTCCATTGCCTTCTCAAGCACCCACAAATAGGGGCTCTACCCTCTGCCCCCCATTTGCCCCCCAGGCCTCTCTTCTCCTGAGGGAAGGTGACCTCTAGCTTCTAGGTACCCCCCTAGAGAGGGGTCAGCCTGTCCCCACCTCTCCTAGCTTGTCCCCAGGTAGACTCAGAATCCTCTGGGGGACAAATGCAGGCCTGAGCAATTCAGGGCAACAGGTGGGCACTGGCAGTACAGTCACTACCGAGGAGAGAGGCAGGGCAAGTGGTCAGGATGGTGGACACGGTCCAGGCTCAGGAAATCGCAGAAACTGACTGTCTTGCAGTCCAGAGAGTTTATAAGGACTTATTTTGGGGAAGAATCAGTAACCAGGAGCATCTGCTTGAGTGGAGGATGAGAGAGAGCACAGTGTGGGTAGATGAGGACTTGGGGGTGGGACTCACCGTGCTGACTGCTGCCACCGTTCCTCTGCCCCAGGTTTATGTGTGGTACTTGGGCCAGGAGTGCCCAGGTCTGGTGGAGCAGCACAGCTGGGCAGAGGACCAGGTGACCGTTTGGCTGTTGGACCAGAAGTTACAGATCTGCTGCAAAGCAGAGGAAGTGTGGCTGGCGGAGCTGCAGGGCCCCAATCCCCAGGTGCCAGCGCCAGAGAACGGAGAGCAGGCCCCGGCCTATAGGCCTGTCTCCAGGAACATCGACGTCCCAAAGAGGTTTGTTGGTTTTGAAAGCTGTGTAGGTGGTGAGGTCTGAGGGTGTGGGCTGCCTTGGGATGGGGAAGGAGTGTGGGGGTCCTAGGTGTCCAGGTACCAAGATACTGACCAGTGTGGAACAGAGAAGGGGCATCCTTTTCTTCTTATGGCTAACAGATCTTTGGTTCAGTGAAAGGCTATTTTTTTTTCCCTCCTTCACACTTAAATTTAAATGAGTACAGAGACAGGGAAGAAATGGCCTAGATTGGGAGTCAACAGATTTCGTTTGAGTGGGCCAGACAGTAAATAATTTAAGCCTGTGTGCCAAACAGTCTCCATCACAGCTGCTCAGTTCTGCTGTGGTAGTGTTAGAACAGTGTAGCAGAGATACAGCAACACATGGGCCCCAATAAAACTTTATTTATGGGCCGGGTACTATGGTCATGACTTTAATCCCAGGACTTTGAGAGTCCAGCAGTATGAGATCAGCCTGGGCAATGTAGTAAGACCCATCCTCTACAAAGTTATTTTTAAAAAGTTAGCTGGGAGTAGTGGCACATGACCTGTAATAGAGTTGCTACTTGGGAGGCTGAGGTGGGACAGCTTGAGCCTGGGAGTTTGAGGCTGCAGTGACAGAGGAAGATACTGTCTCTCTCTTTTTTTTTTTTTTTTTGAGACAGAGCCTTAAGTTACCCCCTGGGTAGAGTGCTGTGGCATCACAGCTCACAGCAACCTCCAACTCTTGGGCTCAAGTGAGTCTCCTGCCTTTGCCTCCCAAGTAGCTGGGACCACAGGCGCTTACCACAATGCCTGGCTATTTTTTGGTTGCAGCCATCATTGTTGTTTGGTGGGCTGGGCTGGATTCAAACCCACCACCTTAGGTGTATGTGGCTGACGCCTTAGCCACTTGAGCCACGGGTGCCGAGCTGATACTGTCTTTTGTAAAAACAAAAAGCAAACCAAAAAGCCTCAAGGAGGTCTCTCTCACTCCTTGCTGAGCTTGGCCAGGCGTGGTGGCTCAGGCCTATAATCCCAGCACTTTGGGAGGCCAAGTGGGTCACCTGAGCTCAAGAGTTCAAGACCAGCCTGAGCAAGTATGAGACCCTATTTCTACTAAAAGTAGAAAAAACTAGCCAGGTGTTATGGTGGGTGCCTGTAGTCTCATCTACTTGGGAGACTGAGGAGAAAGGGTTGCTTAAACCCAGGAGTTTGAGTGGCACTCTAAGGCAACAGAGTGAGACTCTGTCTCAAACAAACAAAACCAAAAAAATCTTATGGACTCTTCAAATTTCAGTTTTACGTAATTTTCATGTGTCACAAGTCAAGATATAATATTCTTCTATTGATTTTTAAAAACCATTTAAAAATATGAAACCCTTCTTAGCTCACAGGTTATACAAAGACAAGCAGCAGGCTACATTTGGACCACATTCCCCAAAATGCAGACCCCTGGTTTAAATATTCAAAACCATGGGTGCTGAATGAAGAGTATATATTTCTCTTTGGAATTTTATGATTTGACTTTTCTCTGGTAATGGATCTTAATTTCTATATCATACTTTCTGTGTGCATTGATCTTTTGAGATTTAAGAAGAAAATCTGCTCATTGACCTGGTCTTATATGTAACACACACAAGCAGTTAAACCCTGTTCCACCTCTTTCCTCGTCGGTGGGGGCTCCTGTTATTGGCAGTAGACCCAGTGTTCTTTTTTGAGACAGAGTATTTCTCTGTCACCCTCAGTAGAGTGCCATGGGTCTTAGCTCACAGCAACCTCAAATTCTTGGGGCCTAAGCAATCCTTTTACCTCAGGCAGCCCGCCGTAACACCCAGCTAGTTTTTGTTTGTTTGTTTTGTTTTGTTGCTGGTCTTGAACTCCTGAGCTAAGGCAAACCTGCCTCGGCTTCCTGGAGTGTGAGCATTACAGGTGTGAGCCACTGTGCCTGGCAGACCCACTGGTTTGAGACCATGTCAGAGCAACAATATTTGTGATTCTGTATTCAGTGGAATGCTGGCAAATAATTTTTCTATTCTACGGAAATGAATATTCAAAGATCATACAAAAATAAGAATGCTAACATATTTAATGTATTAATTAATAGTCTTGCATTAGCTGCCTCAAACCCAAGTTATATACTTTTTTTTTTTTTTATTTTAAGAGACAGAGTCTCACTTTGTTGTCATCGGTAGAGTGCTATGGCATCCCAGCTCACAGCAACCTCCAGCTCTTGGGCTTATGCCATTCTCTTGCCTCAGCCTCCCAGGTAGCTGGGACTATAGGTGCCCGCCACAATGCCTGGCTATTTTTTTGTTGCTGTTTGGCCAGGGTTGGGTTTGAACCTGCCATCCTCGGTATATGGGGCCAGTGCCCTACTCACTGAGCCACAGGCGCCGCCCCCAAGTTGTATACTTTAATAGACATGAATTATAAAGAATGAACTAATATAGTTGTTTGAAATAGACTGGGTAGAAGTTTATTTCAGACTAACTTTTCCCAGTACCTTAGCATTAATGTACAGATAGCTCTAACTTTGCTTTCAAATAACATAACTGTATATGGATTTTTAAAAATTACATGTAAAATCTTACGGAACTCTGCTGTACAAAGCATTGAGATTTGCTCATTGGTTTGCTCAACAGGTTCTGTTGACATTCGATAGCTGTCAGGATGCCTTATCTCATTCTTCCTGGGGGAGTGGAGAAAGAAATAGGGTAGGGTAATTTTTCCCTCTTAAATTGAGATGTAAGACGGGAAAGGAGGTAATTGTTGTGCTTTTGAATTCCAGTGGGGGTCCTTCATCCCCATGCTTTATTTCATTGTTTTGACTCTTCTCTTTCCCCCTAATAACCTGCAAAGTTAGGAAGGACAATCGGGGAGAATGATGCTGCCTCAGAGTGTCTGCAGGGGGTGGGTTTGACCAATACCACAAGCATCTTTCAGAATGAGTATTTCTTGCAGAGTGAGTGAAGAGTGAGCTGAGCCCTTGAGCACACATTAGCTGATTGGAGTGGGGGCTTGGAAGGGACCATCCAGAGCATGAAATGATCACATGTGGTGCCTTGTTCTGTGGGGACTGTGGACCCACCATCCCAGGAAATAACTTTTTCCATTCACCTGTTTGAATCTAGGAAGTCCGATGCCGTGGAAATGGATGAGATGATGGCAGCCATGGTGCTAACATCCCTGTCCTGTAGCCCTGTTGTGCAGAGCCCTCCTGGGGCCGAGGTCAACTTCTCTGGTGAGCAAACTGGGCCTAACTGGGTTCTAGGTGTGGCAAGGAACCGTGACTGACATCTTCACCACTGAGCAGCTAATCGCCAAAGTCACCAGCCTGACATTGCAAATAGGTTTCTGGAGATGCTTCTCCCTGGCTCCTTAGACTGGCTGAGTGCCTTGAGTTAGATGCTTCCGTTCTTTTTCCTCAGTTTCATCATCCAGGGAGAAGCTTCCTGGTGCACTGTGAAGATGATTGAGCACAGGACCCACAGAACTTACACAAGAGTAAGTTCTTCCGTGGGAGTGAGTGCAGCACGTTGGTGGGGGCCAGAATGAGGCCAACAGAGCCATATCTAGTTCACAGAGGGGACCTGCACCAAAGGGTCTTCTAGTGGCCTCAGAAAGTTCACGCGCCCAGTTCCAAGTCCCCAGTTCAGCCTTGCAAATCAGCATGGGCCTACAGGGCAAAGACTTGAAATAAATGAGCTAAAGTCTAAAATAAACCTAATTGCTTAAAAAAAACCGGTGGTATAACATCAAGGCAAATTTATAAAGTAAAAGAAAATTCTTATAGTTGCAACCCCCTTATCCATAGTATGAAGGGAAGAACAGTTGCTGGGTATTAGTAGTTTGACTAATAGTGAACTTGATCGTGAACTTGATTTTTTAAAAAAAATTTGTTATAGGGCTGGCCTACCTTACTCCCAGGGAAGAACTTTTTCATTGGTGAGACCTAACTGAATTGCAAGCCATTTGAAAGCATGTAGGAAAACATGGAGTTGGCTCTAAGCACATACCAGGAGAAAAGTGGCCTTTATAAGTAACCCTTATAAGTAATCTCCCTAGGTACAAAGTAAGGATAGCTGAGTGAAAGCAAACTTACTTGACTCAAAGCCTGTCATTAATGTCTAGGTTACTAGACAAAGCTATCGTACTATGAGGACACCTAGCGGTGAAGCCTAGTATTGCATGCCTGCTCTATTAGCCTGGCAAAATGGGAGGAGGACAGTGTCAATTTTAAGTCCTCAGGAAATTTTATGAGTTTAGGAGACCTGGGAGGTTGGGTCAACAGGAGGAAGAACTATGAAAGTGTCTTAAAGAAAGGAAGTGATTGACTCCATTCCCCATGAGGAGTGTATGTATATGCATGTGTGTATAATGACGTGTATGCACCCGTGCATACCAACATATATGCATCTCACTGACGATATACCATGATCTTGACATCTTAATTCCATTTCCTTTTTTTTTTTTTTTGAGACAGAGTCCCTCTTTATCACCTTGAGTAGAGTGCCATGGCGTCATAGCCCACAGCAACCTCAAATTATCGGGCTCAAGCAATTCTCTTGCCTCTACCTCCCGAGTAGCTGGGACTCCAGGCACCCACCCCAATACCCAGCTATTTTTTGGAGATGAGGTCTCGCTCTTGCTCAGGCTGGTCTTGAACCGGTAAGCTCAGGCAAGCCACCTGCTTCAGCCTCCCAGAGTGCTAGGATTACAAGCATGAGCCACCTTGTCTGGCCTCTTAATTCAATTTTCAAGAATAATTTTCATTGTCTGTTAAAGATGCTTTTTGTGACAGTATATTCTTCATGATTTTATGTTGAAGTCAGTGGAAAAAATAAGGCTTCCTTGGCAGCTAATTATCTTGAAGTGTTCTGCAAACAAAAACCTTACTCAAATCATGGATAGTGTTTGCACAAAAGCTACTGACTCCCTTGGGTTTCTGTATTGTTAGGATGGTTGTGGGTGTGTGTTTGTGTGTATGTAGAGAACAGAGGGGACGATAAATATTTCTTAAAAGCTCACTTGTAAACTGTCAGCACTATGCATCTACTTTGTTTTCATGGTATAGAATATGAATGTATTCTCTTTGCCCTAGAAAATCTTATCAAAGATGGAGTAACTTATAAATTAACTTACAACTTTTACAGGTAACTTTTTGCTTTGTTTTATTGCTTCTGTAGCCCTGTCAAAATTTGCCATATAGGTTTTATGCATTTGGGCCGTTTGGAGTCATCTCTATGGAGAAGAATGCGGTGTTTGTAGGGTCTGTTGGTGGTGGACCTGCCCTTTGTCCTTGGGTCCTGATCGTCCTGGATGTAGTGATGTAGGATTTGGTCCCTACCCTTCTCTCCCTGATAGGTTTCCTGAGAGGATGTGCCTGGGCCTTTGCTGGGTTGGCCTTTTGGATGATTCTTGAGTTCTGCCCTGCATGTCTGTCCTGTGTTAAGGTCATGTGTATCTACAGTAACACCTTGGTTCCCAGGAAGGGAAACTGACAGCTTTGAGACTTGACAGTGATATTTGGGGAGGGAAGAAGAATTCTTCCTCCATCCCATTCTGTTTAGGTGGGCTTTTCCTAGAGTGTGAGATTTAAGGAGCACCTGGATTAGGAGTGTGGGAAGCGGGGAGCATGTTCTAGGTGTAGAGATTAGCATAGAAACAGCTAGGATTTCTGAGCATGAGGAGAAAGGTCAGTCCTTAGAATTTTATTCTGGCCACAAGGGATGTGGAAGTGGATCTTGGAATCTGGGATTAGGAGGCTTAGTGGAACACCCATGTTGAGAGTTGGGGGTGTGGTTTTTGAGGACATGTAGTTTTTTTCCATCCCTTGGTTGGTATTTCCATGTATTAGAATTTCAGGTTCTCCTTTACTATAAGTTAACCTAGATTGATGGCCTAGGCATAGAAGAGTTTGGCGTGGGCCTGAGCAGCCTGCTGAAGGAGTCCACTACTAAGGAGTCCACTACTCAGCCATTAAACGAAATAATATCTTTTGCAGCAACTTGGATGGAAATGGAGGCCATTTTCCTAAGTGAAGTAACCCAGGAACCAAAAACCCAAATACCTAATGTTCTTGCTTAGAAGTGTGTGAGCTAAGCAGCGGGTGTACAGGGTTACACAGAGTGACATGGTAGACATTGGAGTGGGTTGGAAAATTACCCGTTGGGCGTAGCGTATACTATTTAGGACACATTTGCATGAAAAGCCATGTACAGTTTATCCACGTAACAAAAAAACCATTTGTGCCTCCTAAATCTATCAAAATAAACAAAAGAAAAATCCCCTGATGATCCTCCGTGCCTCCTGCCCCCCTCTTCCTGTTCAGGTGTGCTCGGGGAGCAGGTAGCTGCATCAGAGCTGTGCCAGGTGCAAGGCCCTTCTGTTACCTGCAGATTGTTGGAATTGCTCGCAGAGCTGGTCTTTCCTCCAGAGGTGCTTCTCTGAATACAGCATGATCCATCTCGGCTGCAGCAGCTCTGGGAGACGTTGCTGTGAGCTGTGAGGTCTGACAGAGTGGCCTGGGTCTCAATGATCGAAGGGCATTTTTCAAGAAAGTTGGCCAGGAAGCCTGTCCTATTGAGCCATTGCTCTGGAAGTGCCTGTTTGCACCCAGGCCTGGTGGGCAGGAATAACTCTGCCCCTCCCTCCTTTTATTTAACATATAAAGTGAGAAATGAATTTTTGGTTAGCTGGCCCAGGCCAGGTTCCAACCCACTGGCCCCATTGCCTGTGGCCAGCGCTCTAACCACTGAGCTACGGGTGTAGACTGAGAAATGAATTTTAATTAGTGTCTCTTTCCGTGAACAAAATGAAGTTACAGTGTGTTTCTGTTGGTCAGTGATGACCTGTGTGGCTGTGGCGGGAAATGTCCGCCCAGGGCAGAGCCTTGGACATTGCTGCGGTGAGTGGCCCTGTGCCCCATGTTCTCCCTATGTTTGCCGAAGCTCAGAGGGAGAGGGTTTTGGTTGTTTCCTTTTTGGGCCTGGGGACAATCCTGTCATCTCTCTGCCCGGCCAGCTTCCCGCGCAGCCTGCGACCCGTGGAAGGAGAGCGGCGACGTGTCGGACAGTGGCAGCAGCACCACCAGCGGGCACTGGAGCGGGAGCAGCGGCATCTCCACCCCCTCGCCTCCCCACCCCCAGGCCAGCCCCAAGTATTTGGGGGATGCCTTTGGTTCTCCCCAAACTGATCATGGCTTTGAGACCGATCCTGACCCTTTCCTGTTGGATGAACCAGCTCCACGAAAAAGAAAGGTACTCGACAGTGGTGTGAGCCGGGGCTGCACAGGGCGCGGCCGTGCCAGGGAGGGGGCCCCACAGGCCCTAGTGTTCTGGGTGCCCCCCCATTTTGTTTTTCATTTGCTGCTTCTGTTACCTGCTGATTTGCCCAAGAGCTGCTGCTGCCTCCTCTCTAATGGCAGTTCCTTTGCTTTTAACCTCTGCCCTGACCCCTGCCCTCTGTCCTGCACTCCGCCAGAAGCCCATAGGCATGGTGGGGTCTTAGCAGCACCCAGCACTGCTTCTGGCCTCTAGGACCCTCTCTTGGGTCGGGGCTTTCTGGCTCCTGTTGTCAGTTTCTCTGGTCCCAGGAAACCTCTTCCCCAGAGGCAGTTGTGGGGTTGGGCAGAGGACAGCGGCCAGCTCGAGTCCCTGCTGGGAAAGGACTGTGGAGGGGTGAGAAGAACACATCCCGGATACCCGATCTCGCTTTTCCCCTAGAACTCGGTGAAGGTGATGTACAAGTGCCTGTGGCCCAGCTGTGGCAAAGTTCTGCGTTCCATCGTGGGCATCAAGCGACACGTCAAGGCCCTCCACCTGGGGTAGGTCTGGAGCCCGGGCCTCGGGCCGGGGGACCTTCCTTTCAGGTGTTCCTCTGCCCTGCTGACTCTCCATGACCCCTGGCCCCCATCCCCAAAGGCTGCCCAGGAAATGCTGTGCGAAGACACCATGTAGTTCCTATTCCTGGCCTCGTCAGGAGGACGCTTTGGAGGGCGTCCTCCGGGTTGGCAGGAAGGGACCTCTGCCCCTTTTGTGGACGTGTCTTCTTGCCTCACTGTAGGAAGCACATGCTTTAGTTCTGGGCAGAAACAGTAATTGGGTTAAATCCCTGGGGACACTCCGTTGCCAAGATGTGTAGTGGCCAAGCACCGCACCTGCCTCCCTGCAGGGCCTCGCTCTAGGCAGAGTGAGCGTGCAGGGTGTGCGTGCAGAGCGTGCCAGGAGCTGACTCACAGCTCCAGCAGGGAGCATCGCTGCAGGCAGGTGCGGCCCAGAGAAGGCTTGCGGTGGCTCAGAGCTGGATACCTCCTGCTGGAGGAGGGGTTGGCACATGTTCTGGGAAAGCACAAGCCTGAGGTGCCAGGGAAGCAATTTCTGTTGATGTACAGCCTGTAATCCCCGTGCCACGTGTCAGGAGTGGGGCTTCTGGGTCCCTTCTCTGACTTTCTGGGTGGCCCCGAGCAGTCACTCCCCTGCCCTGTCATGCTGCAGTCTCCCCAGCTCTGACCTGGGGCAGCCAGCCCTGGTGACTCCTTTGTCCCCCTCATACTCAGGGACACTGTGGACTCTGACCAGTTTAAGCGGGAGGAGGATTTCTACTACACAGAGGTGCAGATGAAGGAAGAACCCGCTGCTGCTGCTGCTGCTGCTGCTGCTGCTCTGGGCGCCCCCGCCCCTGGGACTCCTGCTACGGAAGCAGCTCCCACCCCCAGCGTGACCAGCCCGCCCCTTGCTGCTCTCCCTCCGCCGCCCAAAGCCCAGACTTCCGGCCCAGAACACCCTGGCCCAGAGTCCTCCCTGCCCTCTGGGGCTCTCAGCAAGTCGGCTCCAGGGTCCTTCTGGCACATTCAGGCTGACCACGCATACCAGGTAAGGGCTCAGCCTCACATCCGACTTGTCCCCGGCCAGCCTGACCACAGGCTGTTGGCCACCCTGATTGAGGGCTGAGCCTTTTGGCCGGATTGCTAATCTCTTCTACAAAGCAGGAAAAGGAAACTGATTTCATACTCAGTAAATGTGGGAATTCCCAGAGTTCTACATTGGTGGCTGTTGTGAGGGGTCACTGGAAATCAAGCTGACGCCCTCGGTGACCAGGTCGATGATGTGACCTGGGGAATTGTTCCATCCCTGGTTATGAGCGGGATGGATTAGTGTAGCTGGGCTTCCCAGAGTGAATCTCTAGAATCCCATTACATCAATGAGCAGTCCAGCACCCTTGCTTTGAGTACCGGTTACGTGTCAAGCACCTGGCCACAGCTTTTCAGACAGAATTAGACTTAGTCCCTGTCCTTGTAGAGTGGGTGGGTGGTTTAGCCGGACAGAGAAATGAGCATGCAGATATGGTTAAAACAATAATAGTAATAAACTAGTAAACTCCAGTACTGTTCACTAGAGGCGTGAGAAAGTGCTGTGGGTATAGGAGGAACCAAGCTGTGGTGTCTGTGGTTGGGACAGTTGTCACAGAGAGGGTGACATTTAGGGTGGTTTTCAGTGTACACAGTAGGTACTCAATGAATGTGCAGCCTGTTGTGTGTCAGCTCTTGTTACAATCCTTGTGTGTCTACAGCTTGGCTTTAGCAACCTTTAGGCCCATGTGCAGGTTAGGGATTAGAAGATAGTGCCCTCAGTGGGAAAGCCTTCACAGACCCAGCCGGCTCTCCTTACCTGAATGAGGGGCCACCTAGCTATTTTAGGTTTGGCCAACTTCTAGCTCTGCCTGACCCTGCGAGGCCTGGACAGTATGGCTGGCGTTTTCATAAGTAGACCAAACCCCAGACATCCACGAGCACGTTGGTCTTTACCTGTAGTTGCCTGGCACACCCCATCTTTTTTTTTTTTTT